ATTACATCATTTTTCGAAATGCTTATTTTTTTTAATATATGTTCCAGTTTAATATTAGTAAAACTTACAGTTCTCTTCGTCTGACGAATCATCTGGTCCGCAGTTATCAATGTTATTGCACCGCAACGACTCGTCAATGCAATATTTATTTTTGCTGCATAGAAATTGATTTTCGCAATCTGTGTTTGTGCTCACTTCAGTCCACACTGCTCGAAAGCCATGTTGTCCTACCGCTTTATCAGCTGATATAAAACTGTTTATATATATAAAAATATATTAAGAGCAGAAAGCTTTATTTCGGAAAGCTTTATAACTCATATGAAATGTAACGAACCTAAGTCTCATATTATTATCCTCCGAAAGAAAACTCCATGTAGTATCAGGATTTTTAACGCCGCAAAGTTCGCGCGGAGTAGATGTTAATGAGTACCACATACGTAACACAGCTGCAGGACAACCCCGTACTAAAAATAGTTATCAAAAAATTAACATATTTGGCGCATTTTACGATAGGCGCATTTTACGATTAACTTATAAATTAGCTTATAGCTTATAGCTTATAAATAACATAGGAATAAAAATATTAATTATATTTTGATAATATTATAATATTATAATATTATATTGATTTACATATTAAATATTAAGAATGTCCCACTTTAAAAGACCCACTGAATATCTTCGTAAAAAAAGATTTTAGAGAAAAACATTTTAAATGAAAGTTGTAGGTTTAGAAGAGAACATCCGATGGTGACCTTGCCTTTGTCACAGATATCCTTTTTCAAGATCAACTTTTGTTTTTTAAATGGAAAGTTCTTGAGGTAAGCTATAAGAATGTGTAATGAAAAATAGATGTTTTCATTTAACAAACAAAAGTTGATCTTTAAGTGACCTTGAAAAAGGACGTCTGTGACAAGGCAAGGTTACCATCGGATATCCCCCACTGGTCCCTACAACTTTTATTTAAAATGTTTTTCTTCAAAACGATGTTTTAAAAAGATATTTCAATGGGTCTCTTAAAATGGAACACCCTGTATACGCAAGAACAGTTTTGCTGAAGGCATTATATGCAGGATGTTTCCTGTAACTTGATTTAAAATATCACCGTTGATTTTAATGCAACAAGATATCACAGAAAAAAGTTGTTCGATTTGAAAGGACACATATTATGATAAGCAAAATATGTTTCTCACGGATTTTTCTCACGGTCATTTTTTGAGACTTCAAGATCATTGCGATTTTTTTTTAATGGAGTGGCATATTTTCATTAATATAGCAATGTATAATAGTTCATAAGAAAACAAATTCAATCATATATGATATGTTGTCCTTCAGATGATCTTGAACATAAAAATATCAAATTTATGTGAGAAAAAGAAAAGTGAACTTGTGTTCTCAATAAAGATATTTATTTATTTTAGTTTGAATGTTCAAAATGATTACCATAACTTCTATACATTTTCAAATGAGATAAATAAATTATTGTTTCGCACTTTCAATGATTTTCGGGGTGATAGTGATACATGCATGTTGAATTCTTTCTTGTATGTTTTCCACTGTTGTGAAAATATCACAATAAACTTGATTTTTTAAGTGTCCCCATAGAAAAAAGTCAAGTGGTGTAAGATCTGACGATCGAGCTAGTCAATAAATTCTTCCACCACGTCCAATCCAGCGATCGGGAAACATTTTGATAAACACATTACGTATGATAAATACAATATGTGCCGGACAATTCATTTTTTAAAAAATATATACATTTTTGTCCATTTAAATTTCCTTCAAAGAAAAATGGATCAATAACGCGATTTCCAATGATGCCATACCAGACACTTAAACCCCATGCATGTTGATATTGCATTTGTCGAAGCTAATATGGATATCAATGGTCCAATAATGCATGTTGTGTTTATTTAACTCTTCATGATTTGGACACACAATATGCATTAAGAAATGAATTACAAATAGTATTAGATAAAGTTCCATTAAAGCACCGTATTAGAATATTGTTCCAGCATGATGATTGTCATTTTGAACATCTTCCAAACTAAAGTAAATAAATAGAGAAATGAAAAGGAGCATAATAGTCAAGCTGATTTTTTTGCTATGATTGATTTATTCGTAAAAAATGTTATTATTCAAACTTTTCGACCTGAATCAGGTCATCAGCGATATATTATATCGAACCTGGATCTCCTGCTTACCGGGCAGGCATCTTATCCCTTCGACTACCGAGACATGTGATGATATTTATCACAAATAACGTGTTTAGAATAACACATCAACAATACAATGATACACATATATACGTATATTACAATATACATATATACATGTATTCTCTCGAATCTCCACGACCGATACTCCAGAGAGATGATGATCCTATTTTCTCGATGAATGCAGGTCGGACTGCAGCGGCGACACCCTTCAACGCCAACGGCAAATATACAAATAATCCTCCTGGTGTGCGACAGGAGAGATTGCATCAAACATGGCTCGAGCCCCCGAATAAGAAGGGAGGGTGTGCGACACGGCGGGACCCGACCACGAACCAGTTTTTATTAAATCTTATCAAATTTTCAAATCTTATCAAATCTCATCAAATCTTATGACAGCTCTATGTTCTTCTGAATCCCGCGAGCAATTTTATCGAACAATCAATATCAATGAATGATAACAATGACGGAATAAAAACAAGAAACCGAACGTTCAATTAAAGAGTGTCAAATATCATAATTAGGGAAGGGGTAATTTTAGACTAGGAAAAAAAGAGCTAGAAAGAAGGAGATGATGGGGAAATTAGGGAGATTACGTCGGAGATAGCAAGTTCAGTACTGGAAGATAATTGTCTGACAAGGAGTCGGTGTCGCTCTGTTTGTTCAAGCCATGACACTGTTTTTTGATATGTATCATTTTCGAAATCAGCCTTTTTCCGTATGAAGGTTCTGTATCAAGAATGCGGACGTTATTCCATTCAAATTCATGCTTATCGATTAAACGATGGTTAGAGATTACGGAAGAAAAGCCACTTCTTTTTTTAATATCATTAAAATGTTCTTTGATCCTTGTGTGTAATTGTCATTTAATTTGATTAACGTAAGTGGTGTCGCAATCCTGGAATTGAGTTTTGTAAACCACTTCGACAAATCCTCAATTTTATCCTTACTCTCCTTCACTCTCGCGAGTCTCGCACTCTATCCCCTGTCTCCGAAGAATCTCTCCTTCACCTTCGCGAGTCTGAATCCTCACACTCCGTTCCCTGTCCATCCGGAAATCTCTCCCTCACTTTCACGGGCACCTCGCGTTCTGTCGCCACTTCGCCCATAAATCCCACCTTCACCAACGAGTTCCAGTGTCGAGTGTGGAATTCATTGGAGAGGTTCCACCGGTACCCTCGGTAGTCTTCGGAGAGGAACTTACGTTCCAGAACATCCTATCCCAGTTCCACTGTAACCATCGACACTCTTCCTCCGGGATCATTTATCTTAGGCCTCAAATCCGTTGACTTAACCGCGCTCCGAAATTACGTAATCGAGAACCGCCCTGATGATCATCATCGCAATATACATCCCCGGAGTTCCTTACCCATTTTTAGTCCCTGTCCGATACTTCTACAGAATGTTCCCACATTCAACAATGAGAATCCGCGAAGTCGATTAATAAATCCATCAAATTTTCCTTTCATCTCCAACTCACACACACACACACACACACACACACACACACACACACACACACACACACACACACACACACACACACAACAATAATAA